TTTCAGAAGCGTCTCCTTACAGATTTTGCATCAGCATATTTCTGCCTTACTTGTATGTGAGCATATAAATTTGGATTGGGACAAGCTGACCTAAATCTGCTCACTATTAAAGCTATGCTTGGGTCCTAAACTTTCTGACAGTGCCTCATTTTATATTATTAATTGAGTACTGTAGATCGTGTACTTAATGATCTTGGTCTGGTTTACTGGAAATTTACCTGTTCTCTGTGGACACCCTGTAGGACTTGAGCACATGTAGCACAGGTAATTGTGTCTATGCAAAAAAACAGAATAGACGGGATAGATGATCCTGTGGTCTGGTCTAGTCTACTATACTGTCTTGAAAAGTGTCCAGCAACAAATACAAAGGAAAGAATGCCAGAACATGGCAAGTGTTCAGGGGTGCTTCGCTGGAATATCTTACACTCCCTGAACTGCAAATCTCTTAGATGCTATCTGAGCCAAAACTCCTTCGTCTTGTATTTCATATCCCTCAGATGAATTGTACCTCTGCAGACTTGCTCAATTACTTGCTAAGTATTTGTGAACTCTTACCATCCAAAACATCCTATGGTAAGGAATGCAATAGTTAGATGTGATGAGAAGGACTGCTTTGTTTTGTTTGGTTTTTTGTTGTTTGGTTTTGGGGTTTTTTTTTCATTTTTTTACCTATGCTGCCTGCTAATCTTACTTGATAGTTGTTCCTCTATTTACAGTCACTGGGCCCCTCACAATAGGCTATCATCATATCTTTTCCATGTTGTTGAACAGTAATTTATTTAGTCATTCTTTGTCCAGAAGCTGTTCTGTATTCAGATCATCCTTGTCTTGCAGATGTTCTGCCTTGGGTTTGAAGAAGGACTCACTGTTCGTTTTTATGCTTTCATTTTTATATTTAACTTGACACACTTTACATTCTTGATTGGATACAAGTTTAGCTTTGAGAAGGATGATTTCTTGATTTTTTAAAGTCTCCCTCTTTTTTCTGGTTAGCCTTAATGGTTTCCTTTTGCTACCCTATCCTCCCCCTCCTCCCGGCCCTGCAAAGCTCCAGTGCAGAGCCGTTGTGGTTTGGATAACCTGCATCTCTTCCATTTTGCTTACAGCATTAGTGAGCAATGGCATGCATCTCTAGCTTATAGCGATTAAAACTTTTGCTGTATCCTCACCTACTGTGTTAGCCTATACAAATACGGTGTTGCTGTCAGCTAAAACAGAAGCTTAGTTCAGGAGTCACTTTGTCCACTTTAAATACACATAAATGCGTATGGCCAGATTTTTATGAAGCTGTTTATTCTGTGATTGTTTATAAGAAATTAAAAAAAAAAAACAACAAAAACGACCATCTGTTCCTATCTTTAGACTACTGCTGCTGATTTTTCAATTTTTAAAAAAATTAAGAATTTTTGTGGCAATAAATAGTGTGGTGTTTTAAAGCCATTATTTGCATTGTTTTTAACAGGTATGAACAACAGAGGGATAATCTATCACAGCAGTCTTTTAATATGGAACAAGCTAATTACACTATTCAGGCACTGAAGGATACAAAGACAACGGTACCAGTATATTAATCTCACATTTGTTTAATTTGTTTATGCTACATCAGATACAAGCATGTTTTTTGGCTCTATTCTAGGTTGATGCAATGAAACTGGGGGTGAAAGAAATGAAGAAAGCTTACAAGCAAGTCAAAATTGATCAAATTGAGGTGAGCTTCTATAGTTTAAGTTATTAAAGCACAGAAACAGTGTACTAAAATAGTGACAAGTGGACTATGTAACTTAAATGTAAGCTGACTGTTCACATGAGTTTGCCTCCCTTTATTATGGGAACACCATCATAATCCCTTCCCGATTTCTCTGGTACTGCACAGTCAGTTTTTGGCCTTACTGCACTGATTGTTGTTTCCTTGCTGGGCTAATCTTTAACCTCTCCCTTTCTTTCCTCTGTACTTCAGCATAATTGTTGGTGAATACTTCCTGCTATGGCTTTTTTGTCGTCTTTTTTTTTTTTTCTTACATGTTAGCAACACGCACATTAGTCCTTTGCTCCCCCAGTTCAAGGTAGCGCCTGATTAAAAAAAACAAAACCCAAACCCCAAAACAAGCAAACCCCCCCCCAAAAAAACCAAACAAAAAATTTAATTTCAAGAAGTCTGCAAGGCCTGAGCCTGTCTTCAGAAAATGCATAAAAAAACCCTGTAAGATCTCTAAATATAAAGTATGCTGTACTTAAACTCTTATCAAATGCCAGTGCTGAATTCCTTTAAGTCCTCTTTCCTATGCTGTTTTTATATATGGCCTGCATTGTAAACCTTTAGGCAAGTATTGTCTCCTTAGTTTTACCAAGTATAGTGCCAAGAGGTATGCTAAAGTATCTTCTAAATTTTGCTGTGGCACAAGTCAGGTTAGTGCTTATTCTCCAGATGGTAGATTTAATTTCTCTAGATTTCAAACTCTCCTGCTTTTCAAGATGATGCTGGACTCTGGGTATTTTATTAGAGGTTTTCAATTTACCCTGAAGAATACTTAAAACAAGAGGATTTTGCAGAGATGTTGTTTCAAGGTTCCTCTTTTTCTACCTCATACATTTATTGTAATTTTAATAGTAGTTAAGGCCACACTATAGTCCTGAACGCATGTGTCTTGACTTGTATTAATGCTGCTTCAAAAAACAGTTTATGCATTAACAAATTTGAGTGCCTTGTATGTTGGAATTATTAAACTGAATTTGATTAATCTCTGATAAGTTTAACTAAAACTATAAAGTATGGACCAGTTGAAATTGTTTCTTGCTTCAGGACATACAAGATCAGTTAGAGGATATGATGGAAGAAGCCAATGAAGTCCAGGAGGCACTGAGTCGCAGCTATGGAACACCAGAGATTGATGAAGATGACTTGGAAGCAGGTGAGGAAGGTGGAGGATGATTTTTACGTTACTGAATGTAAAAATCATCATGCAGTCATACAGTGATTTTTAATTTCATTAGTCAAATACTTGAAGTGTGTTTAAAAAAAAAAGTTTTAATCACTTTTTTAAACATAAAAGCTGCATTTCCTTTAAGAGCAGTAACAAGAGTATGAGACAAACATGAGAGATACACTGATGGAATGCTACAATGATGGAAAGAAGGTTCTCGCCATTGTGTGTGTGTGTGTGTGTGTGTATATTCCTGACTGATGACTAAATAATGCTGAATGAGTATGAATGTAAGCATTCAGTATGAATCCTGTTTCTCTGTAAGAGTGAATTTTCTTTTGCAAAAGGAATTCCTTGCATAATTTTTCAACCGACATAATTCAATTCCAGAACTGGATGCGTTAGGTGATGAGCTTTTAGCTGATGAAGACAATTCCTACTTAGATGAAGCTGCATCTGCTCCAGCAATCCCAGATGTCACTCCTACTGACACGAAAAACAAAGTGAGTCCTTTCCTCTTTAAAAGCAAAATACATGGTTTTTTTTTGTTTTGGATTAGTCACATTTGTGTTGGTTACTTGATGTTTGGAATCCTTAATATTTTGAACAAGAAAATGTGCTTAATGTTTTACGTATTTTGGATGCTATATATGAGACAGTACTGAATGCTCTTTATTATATTTTAAAGAGCTAAAATGGCATTTTGTAACTCCTGTTAGATGGGATATTAGAAAAAATTTCTTTACTGAAAGGGTTGTCAGGCATTGGAACAGGCTGCCCAGGGAAGCGGTGGAGTCACCATCCCTGAAGTTATTAAAAAACCACATAGACGAGGCACTTCAGGACATGGTTTAGTGGGCATGGTGGTGTTGGGTTGATGGTTGGACTCGATGATCTTAAAGGTCGTTTCCAACCTAAACGATTCTGTGATTCTAACATTGTCTGACTGCAAGTAGAATGAAGTGTACTATTACAGCTCCTACTACAGTTTTTCTTGAGAATGTAAGAAAGTCTTCTGTGTGTTTGCTTTTGGGGCTTTAATACAGCTTCATAGTGAGGGAGAACACCGTTGCTCTTATTTTGACTCCAGCTGTCACACAGGGGCAATTACAGATATATCACTTTATAGAAATTGTAAGGAAACTTTTGTGAAACGTTCTGGCTGGTGGAGAGTTGTTAACCTGTTGCTTCTTTCCCTTTCTTCCAGGATGGTGTATTGGTGGATGAATTTGGATTGCCAAAGATCCCTGCAACATAAACGTTTCAAAAGCACAATGGATACAATGAACTACACTTTACAAATCACGTTAAGAATTTTTTTTTAAATCCTGGAGAACTTGTCCTTCCAGTGTAACCTTAATATCACTACATCTTAGAAGGCAATATCAATGGCTGGTGGTGTTCTTTCTTTGAAGAAAGTTGCTCTGCTACTGACTTTTCTATTAATGGAAAATTCGGCACAGTTCCCTTCAGTGGAAGCAGTCAAGTCTGACAGGTTTTGATTTCTGTGTCTTCTGGACAAAGTATGATGTGAAGAGTTAGTGGTGGCTGTCGATAGCTGAGGTTTATTTTGACTCTGTATTATGTTTCTCTTTCTCGAAACCGAGACTGTGCGTCACTGCTCACTCTCTGTAAAATAGCTCCCTTATTACTATGCTCGTTTGATAAAAGAATCGAAAGCAATTTTTAAACTACTGCTGTCTCGAGACTTTTACGCTACCATCCTTGTAACCTTCTGGGAAGCTGTAATAAATAGGGTTATCGCTAACTTTATGTATTCTATGGAGACATAAAATCACGTAGATTAGCTGACGCCTTCGTGTGGTGTTTCTGGCCGTTAATTTGGGCTTTGCCCTCCCCCTTCTCATCCGTGCCCGGTGCTGCTCGAGCAGAGGCCTCTCCACAGCTGGAGGCCGGTTCCGTCCCCTTCACGGGAAAAAAAACAGCCGCCCCCCCCCCCCCCCCCCGCAAAAACGTCATCGATGACGCCCTGTCAACAACAGCCCCCGCCGCCTGCCGGCGTCACGTCCGCCTTCCCTGCCAGAGGGGAGGGGCGCGGCGCGGAAGTGACGCCCTGCCGGCGCGCGCCCGCCGGACGGTTTCCTCACGGCGGGGTGAGATGGCGGCGCCCGGAGCCCCGGTTACCGTCACCGTCACTTACAGTAAGAACCGGGGGAGCGGAGGGGCTGGGCGGGGGGCTCGCCTCCCGCCGAGCCGAGCCGAGGGCGGCTTCCCCCGGCGTGGACCGTGCGGGCCGGTCCCCGGCGCTTCGGCGGCCTCCTCCGGGGCCGGCCTTCCCTGCCGCCCCCGCCGGCCCCGCCTCT